GGCAGGAGGGGGTCGAGGAATACGTTACCTATTTGGGCAACTGCTTATTCAGCACCTGGGAATCGCTGCTCCTCTTCAAGAAAATAGCACCAAGACACATTCCACACATTTCACATTTATAAGAATATTTGTCAACGGTTGCCAAAGTCCGTCCGACTCGCAAATTCCCCAATCTTCGCGTAATTTCTCTGCCCTCCACGGTTGCACGGCAAAAGCGGCACCGCGCCGGTTCGACCACAGCAGACCACGCGGAGTGTGGAAGAAAGGGTTAAATTGATAGAAAAGGGTCAAACACGTTTATATTTGAGTTTAGATCTAGTATTCGTGCATAACATGATTGTCATGGCCGTGTATTACGGAGTAGGCCGGCTTGCCCAAATAGTGGCTATCCCGAGCCTCCAAACCTGTTAAGCTATCCTATTCACACGCTCAGGGTCTATCAGGATCATTGATCACTCTTCGATCTGTGCGGTGGTTTTTCCTCGACCGGGCTTTCGATAATCTCGTCATTCTTCGCATCCGCCTCGGCGGCAGCTTTCTCTGAGGCACTGGGCTTCGAAATCGGTTCTCCCCGCCAGAGTTTCCCGTAGGTCTCTTCCATTACGAGGAGAGAAGTCAGACCGGCCCCGATGCCCATCAACTCGAGGGGTGAGAGATTGTGAGCAAGAGGGATACAAGTGAAGGCGACTCCAACAAGAATTCGCACGATAAGTTGCACTCTCTGTAATGACATGAGATTCAATCCAAGCTTCAAAGTATTAACCTTACCCTGCTGATTCTGGTGGTCCCCTCTGGATCTAGTCCACGATGGGTATAGCCCAATGCGGCCAAGCAAAACATTGAGCAACCCAATCCACCTCCGAAATACCACCGAATGGCTTCAGGTGCTTCTGTTTCGTGCTTGGTGAAATAAGACATGGCGGCCGATACAATGAGCAAGCCAGCACAAAGTGGGAAATGGAGTGTCGTGAACATGGTCCCAGCAAACCCTGTACGAAAGAAAATGTTAAACATTAGCTATATACCATATCTAAGGACGTACAATGGCGGCGGAGAGCATGAACGAATCGTGCACTAGGAAAAGCTATCAGTCACGATGTGCGCATGTCCTAAGTCTACCCACCTGCATTCAGCATCGAAATCTGGAACCACGATGATTAGAAAAGTTGTTTAGATAACAAGAATGTCACCTACAGAGCCAGCATAAATTGAACGCGGTTATTAATCCGCAGATGGCAATCCCGTAGATCCTATAGAACACCGATTTAGATTTTGAATGAGATAAATCAGGAAAAATATACCTCTGGAATCCGACTTGGGAAGTCGTTGCGTGATAAACAACGCTCAGCACCATCTCACCCAGTACAATGACAACGAACGCCGCCGTCCGCTCCAAAAAGTGCTCAATGTTCAGAGCTATGATAATTCACGATGAGCATCCAAAACTGTCGTGGAGAAGTGAGGTCCAACCTGGAACATGGGAGCCAGTTGCGGTGTTGATTGTCCTATCATACGCAGAGCAGTGGCGGTCCTATTGAGGCAAGAAAGTTCAGATGGGGGTATCCAAGCGACAATGTATAACTCACAGCCAAGGTCTTATGATCTTCGTCGTCGTCGTCCTCTTCAGCACCCGCAGCCTCAGCCTCCCTCTGTTTCTCCTCACATTCCCTCATTTTCTCCTCTTCCCTCGCCTTCTTTGGGTTGATAATACGCTGCATGTGCCTAGAAATTCCTACAGAGAACCTTTTTGTTGCGACAGCAGAGTCAGACGTGGTCTCGTAATTGGAAATGAATGAGCTACCTCATACCAATATCCCAAGCCATTCCGACGGAAGCCAGAGTGATAATTGCTGGTGTGGAGCGAATAAAGAGCAGTGGAAAGTATATTGCTGCGCCCAGAACATGGAACACTGTTTGAACCAGTAATGCCATACGGAATCGAGGTAGAGCCACTGCGTACATGCTTCAAGTATGGCCCAGTCAATGAGTATATCACTAGCCATGAGAGAAGTAGACTGACACGAGGAAAAATATCCTGAGACCCCGACCTAACAGGTAGAAGACTGTGGCTGTAACCAGAGCTGCATCTCGTTTGGACGCTCCTGGAGCTTCTGCCGCCGCCAGGATAGAGGAAGTAAGAGCATGAATGGTTTCATTGGTGAAAGAGGTTTCAGCAGTCTCGTGAGTTCCTTCAGAGGTGCCATAGGCTAAGGAGATTGCGGATGCGTTCGCCGTATAACCTACTTGGGTCAGTACCTGGAAAAATTGCCATGGTGACGTGCAAACGTACCAACAAGAAGCGCCATCATGTAAAGAATACCAACGCGTTGGATAATCTGTTGAAATGAGGGTAAGTTCTTGGCATTTCGAAATCGCCGGGCTTTGGCGTACATCGTCCGTCCCAGACGCATTTACGAAAGCGCGAAATCTAGACACCAATTAGACATCCGATGAATAGCTACAAGTCATTTCTACTCACTCGCTCCAGATTGACCAGGTGGGACTGTGTAAAAGTTCAGGGTTAGAATGTCTCAGGTCAATGCTCTATAAGCGCTCCAAAAAGTGCTCAATGTTCAGAGCTATGATAATTCACGATGAGCATCCAAAACTGTCGTGGAGAAGTGAGGT